ATTACGGTGGGTGAGACAGGGGGGAAGGTGTTCGTCACCTCCCGTCTCCCGTGATAATTGGTCCGATCTCCCGACCGCCCCGCCGCCGACTATAATATGCGTTTCGCTTATAAATTTAATTGCGGGACCCGAGATACGGAGGCCGCCGCGCGTAATGTGTTTTGTGCGCCGGAACGCGCGCGGTGCGTGCCGATGACACGGCAATTAAAGTGTAAATTAGCGCCGCCGTCGCCGCCACGATCTCCACGGCGGCGGCGGCGGCGGCGGCCATCTCCGGAGAACAAACGCGTTCGGCGGTCGGAGAAAGACGACGACGACGTCGGGCAAGAGGGGGAGAGCAAAAATGATTTCGACTGATAATTATGCTACCGCCCGAAGAGCGATTCGCGGGGTCGGACACACCGTCAAGGGCCCGGGTCGCGTAAAATAATTATTATCGCAGCCGCGCGCCGGCAGGGGCGAAAACGTCGACGGCGACGATGACGACCCGACGACAATAGACGCGCGCGCGATCTTTACGGCCGCGTCACCGGCCGGACGGTCATCGTTAAACAATAACAACGATAACGCGTATATAAGGGGATAGCTGCGCGTCTGTAGATAATTTTAATTATTATTCTCGCTCGCGTCCGTTTTCCGACGTATTATCATTATTATCATTATTATCATTATTATTATTATTATTATTATTATTATTATTATTATTATTATTACGGTTTCCGGGCCGTGTGTAGCTGGTACCTACAACGAGCCGGGCGACCTGCAGTTTCCGCGGGGTCCGTGGCGAGGCGGTCCGCGAACGGTGTTCCGACGGTTCGCGAGCGCGGGTACTCCTCGACAACGCCAACGCCGCCGCAATAACAATAACGGCAGACGCACTCGAAAATAATAATTTCGAACACTTGTCGCGCGGTTGAATATTTCCCTCGCCGCCGCCACCGCCGCCGCATTTAGTGACAATAATAATTATTATCGTCGTTATGTACGTAGAACCGGAAGCGAGCGGTTATTAAAAACAATAATATTGTAATATATTCTGCGGGTCCTATCGGAGAAAAGGGGGGGGGGGAGACAAAAAACAATGCTGTCCCGGGATAACGGGGACGGGTGCAGACATCTGTTAGCAACGATTAACCATTGCTAAAGAAAAACGATTCGGAGCGAAGTTTCTTTTGTACACGTACATATTCTCGTCTTTTCCAATCATTACGAAAACCGCTCGGAAAATCAAAAAAATGACGCCAATCAGAAAGTACTGCCCGGATGAAATTTTCTTCTGAAAAAAGTACTATACTTGTGGTACTATACATCGGTAGAAAACAGTTGTTCAGAAAAAAAAAAATACAAAACATATTTTAAAACTGATACGCATTTCTCGGTATACGTTCCGCATCTAAAATGGAAACCCGACTAAAATCCTCTTGTAGAAAATCGCCGCCGAATCATAACGAATTTTATGAATACGCAGCTAAGATGATGGTAATATCGATATTAGCCAATTATTATTCGTTTTTTGTCCAAGACGCTCGTACCGGTAAGTTTATTAATATAAATTCCTCTATAGTCCCAGTCTGCGGTACCCTGTTGAACGATATTGTTACGCATTATTGTAATTCCGATAAAGCTCGGTGTACATACTTTTCGTCTTAAATCCTGCTGCATGCCGGCCGGACGTAATAAAGCAGTGTTTCGCATAGTTTCCACGCGTACGCGCAATAATATTTTCTAAAAAACGACAGCGCGATTTACTTCGGAAAACTGCAACGTTCTGCATGCGAATCAAACGCCACTGCGCCAAACTGCAGTACCTGTATAATAGGTATATTGTACCATATATACGTTGTTATGTATGTTATAATAATATTATAACAGAGCAAACTCTATCTGAACGTTTTTACTTTGATATGGTCGACAAAACGACCATACAGTACAGTTAAGATTTAGCTAGGTACAGGTGCAAGGTACCCAATAAAAATTATTACTAAACATCAGTACTAGTTAACTATACGAATTCGGTAAAAAAAAGAGATAAAAACACAAAGGGAACATATTGAGAAATATTGATGGGCGGGTAATGGTATGCGTCGGTTCTGGGTGGAGTTCGTTTTTTATCGCTGTACACAGGTGCCTACGATCTTACGCATAGTGTATAACTATAAAGTCCCTTCCAATTCTGATAAAATAACGTTTTCTACATTGGACCCCGTATGAAAACGGATTCAAGGAAGAGCACCAGCCGTGTGTCGGAAAAAATAACTCTTCGGGTTGGCCATGGCCAATGTAAACGAAAAATATTTAAAACAATAAAATTACTCTCTTTACTTGAAAAGTTATTAGAAAGGTGCAATAAGTATAGTTATAATAATAGACATTTTTATAATTTTTCAAACAGCTCTTAATTTTGCTCGTGATTTAACCCCCCCCCCAATTAAAAATCGTTAATACATATGTGTATATTTTCGTAACGCGAACAAACGAATTTGTTCGGGTTTTGTGTATGTGTGTACGTCTAATGCGAAACCAACTGCTGCGATAATGTCGTCGATGTGAACATTGTTATATGGTATCACGATAAAACCTGCGAAACTTATTCGATGTATGTCGGTCGAATTAAATATCCGCGTATACATTACACGTGTTGCGTGATAATTTTTTATTATTAACGGTTTTTTTTTTTTTGTATATACGGTAGGTGGGTATACTTAAGCATTTAAATTTACACGAGCTGCAGTATACTGCGACCTCATGAAACACGACTATTATACAGTTAAAGACGTTCCAAATGATAGAAAAACAAAAAAAAAAACACACGGCATTCACGAATACCGAACGTTCATCTGCATTATATTTTTATATTCTTGTCTTTTCGCACGCCGTACCGATGATACGTCGTATATTAAACCGCAAATAAAATTACATTTTTACCGCGACGATCGCGAAATTGGCACCTGTCCGAGAATAATTAAGCGCGATTCTCTACATCGAAACATATTGCGCGTGTACCGTCGATGGCGGTTTTTTTTTTCAATATTATAAACAAAAATAATAACAAATCACGACAATTCCGCCGTGGACGATTGTTTACTTTCGAATATCCTATATATTATTTTAATCTCCGGCGAGCGTAGTAATAATATTCGGCGGATTTAGCGAGCGCTCGAAATAAATATTTCGTTCTCGAGCGAAAAAAAAAGTAAATAAATAAATAACACTAATACGTAAGTATAAACATTTTTTTTTATTTTTCGGATTTTCGGTTTTTTTTCGAAGAAACACAGTGCGACGGCGGCGGGGTTTCGTTTTGAGAAAATTTAATCAGCCTCGAAACGACGACGTTGCGTACGTCTTCAACGGTCGCGGACGCGCGGAACCGGCCGTCGTCGAATAAAAATAATATCGAAAAGCTCTCCGGGCATACCGCAAACATGAAAATAAATAATAATAAAAAAAAAAAGGGGTCGAGAAAATCGTTTCTTAAAAATAGACTGGGAGCAAAAAAAAAAAAAAAATATAATAAGAAATACCGTATACGAAAACGGGCCGCAGAGAGTAAATATACTTTACGACTTGCCGCTTTCGAATACCAATATTGACATAATATTTACATTGGCGTGTCTCTCTCTCTCTCTCTCTGTACATATACATAATATATAAAATATACTATTGATGCACCCCTAAGGGTGGCAATTATTTCGAATACTATTAATGTTTTTTTTTTTTTTTTTCCTGAAACGTCGGTATTACATAAACGAACAGCAGTATCGACAGTATTGTTTTGTACGCACCGCGAACCTACGGCCTGAACAGGTTTCGTGATTCATCCGGATCGATAAATATTATTGTTTTCGGACGCGCGTACAGTAATTGTTGATTTTTGACGAGTACTCTAACCTAACCAGTAACTCCACCCAGAACCGACGTATAATCATCTATCCAGTACCCGCCTAACAATATTTCCCAATATGTTCCCTTTGTGTTTTCACTTCTTTTTCACCGAATTCGTATAGTTAACTGGTATTGATATTTAGTAATATTTTATATTGTATACCCTGCACCTATCGCTAAATCTTAACCATATTGTACTCTAGACGGACGCGAGAGACCTGACGCGTTATCCGATAATCGTTAAGAGGACGTTACGCCCGCATATCTACCGTCTCAGTCTAACTAGCTTGGTTTTAGAGTAAAAGTACCTATTGTGAAAATTATAGAGTACAACGTTTCAGAGGGAACGGCATAGGGTTCTGGTATTGTTCAAAATATACGGTTCGATATAAAATATACAAAAACCTTTATTTTTTTTTTCTTTAAATAACGCTGATATTTTAAATAGTTCATAATTCAAAAAAAAAAAAAAAACACGTCATGACATTGTCGCCCAAAATATTGTTATCTATAAATTACGCAACGGGCACTTTTCTAGAATCACAATTACGCTATAGTTTTACTTATTCTACGTAAGCGTTGTTTTCGCGTGTTACCCGGTAGTCTGAGACAGTAGGAGTAGGGTATAACGCGTACGTCCTCTATTCGGAAATCCGAACGGTCGAATCGTCCGGATACGTTCCGGCCCGATCGAATCGCTTTGAAACCCATAACGTATTTATCGGGAACAACACGGGTACATCAATATAAATATATCCGTTATAAAGTCGGCCTTTATGAAATCCAGACGTGCGTCGAATTCTTTACTCTTTTGCCCGCTTTTAGCGCTGGGTTTTACGCGTTATGGAAAACGGAACGAAATTGTCTTATTATTTTTTTTTTTATTTTTTTTTATGAATTTAGAGAGATAGAAAGTTCCCGATTATTTGTCTTTTAGTTAATTAGTTGTCGTGTATCTTTCATTTCCATCCGGATCATTCGTTATGTCGATAATGTGCAACGATGATGAAACACCGCGCGGGTTTTGTATGGGAAAAACGCGTTCGCACTCATCGGCTCATCATAATGTTTAATTCGATAGTGATGGAGAATATTACTGCGTTTTTACGGCGGCAGATAGACACGTACAAAATATATAAGGTTACGAATTTATCATGTAAAAATCGATACGAAATTGTTTTACCTTTGTCTATATATTATACTATTCGGTGATGTAAACGCCAACCCGTCGCGGAAAATGAGGATTCCTCCTGTTTGAAAGCCTAAAGTATGTACACACACTGTTATTTAAGGTATACGCGAAGTAAGGGCGAAAAAATCGGGAATCCGCTTAAAATCCTCCGAACCGCCGGTCATCGATAAAATAACGATCGCCCCGTACCGGTATAAAATGATGATATTAATTCGTAACGCGCAGTTTTACGGCTCAATAATTCAAGCGCGTATAAAATCGCTCGCTCGTGTCAGACACGTGCCCGTACGCGTTTAAATTATAAGTATATAAGTAAACCGTCCAATTATTTATAATATTCGACGGTGTTTTGTTAAATGGGCGTGTATCGTTAAAAAATCGAAAAATACGTTTTTGGTATCGAAAAAATTCGGAAAATCTAGAGCATAAAATGTTATGAAAAGGCGTGTTTAAATACAGAAAATTAAGTTGGTAATATCGACTAAAAGATATCCAAGCGCCCTTATAAAATCGAATAAAATCAACGCCGGATTTGTTAAAAGGGCTTATACCACGTTCAATACATGTATACTTTGTGTGCAAGTGGTATATATGTGTATGAGTAAAATATCATTGTTTTCCACGATAAGTATCGTTAAACACTGGTTTGCTGTTTTATTTTTTTTTGCTCACAAAAAGTGAGATTTGATAGACGCCCTTTTCACAAATTATCATCGATATTTTCGTCACTATACAGCACGGATGGCCAACTTTTTTTGGTTGTGATGTACTAAAAATATATTTTTCCTTTGAGGATCGAATTCCAAACAAAAATACATAATTATAAACTACCTAACAGGTATTAATACACACACACAC